GCATCCCTATGTTCACAGTAGCACAGTTTACAATAGCTAAGATTTGGAAACATCCTAAGTGCCCTTCAGCAGATGAGTGGATTAAAAAACAGTGGTACATCTACACAATGGAATACTACGCTGTGGTAAAAAAGAAGAAATTTTTAACATTTGCAACAGCATGGATGGAACTGGAGAGCATTATGCTAAGTGAAATAAGCCAGGCAGAAAAAAATAGATATCACATGATATCACTCATTTGTGGAATATAATGAACAATATAAACTAATGAACAAAAATAGAACCAGAGTTATAGAAGCATTGAAGAGACTGTCTCTAATCTATGAGGGAGGTGGGGGGGTAAGAGGGTAAGAGATCAACCAATGGACAAAGACCGGGGGGTGATGAGGGCATGTGCTGGGGGGTGGGAGCGGATGGGGAGTGGTCAAAAAAGTTTAATGGCATATTTTTTAAAACATCCAAATACTAGATTCTAGGGACTGATCCCCAACCCGGGCATGTTCCCTGATCAGGAATGGAACCATGACCTCCTGGCTCATAGCTCAACACTCAGCCATTGAGCCACCCCAGCTAGGCCCAATAATTTTAATAAATTAAAAATTCAAATCTCAAATACATGCATAATCTGAGGTACTGGAAATTAGGACTTCAATATAAGAATTTTTAGGGAATAAAATTTAGCCTATACAGGCAGGATCAGCTCTGAGCCACTCTGTCAGCCCCATTTCTGCCACCACCTCTCATCACTAGAGAAGCGGCCAGAATAAAAATATGTCTCCTTCCTGACATGGAATATGCCTAGCAGTGTACTGAGCAAATAGTGGACTTCTTTCCCTTCTCCTGTTTACATTTCCCATGATAAATCTTATAAGCCAGAGACAGGGCTATCTATGATCCATAACAGAGGTAAAATAATGCATGATGGAACCATTAACCTAAACCCTAAACAAACAGCCTCCTTTCTCCTCTCTGGTCACTCATGCATGACATGAAGATACTACCTTGTTTATAGGATTGTTGTGATGACTGAAGTAGGTAGCAGGTAGCAGGTAGCAGGTAGCAGGTAGCAGGTAGCAGGTAGGTAGCACAATCCCTTTAGTTTAATACCTTTATTTCATATTCAATTATTACCTTTGACTATTTTTTGATCCTAGACCCCTGCTTAATATCCTCACTAGACTTGTTGATTACTGACCCAACAGCCTTTCCTACCAATGTCCTATGGTAAGAAAAACAGAGTTTGTTTTAAGAAGTAATATATCCAATCCCAGGGTGTGACTCAAGATTTCCCCAATACAGTCATGGCTATCCCATTCTTCTTTGTCAGATGATGGTTTTTCCAGCTTCCCTTATATCTAATGGTGTCCCTGAGACTTAGTTCTGCACAATGAGGTGAATGGGGAATGTGTTGGGTGTCTTCTGTAGAAGATTCTGTTTCTTGATAAAAGGACATACACTGAAATATTCACCCATGAGAAAGAAGAAAATCCTGCCATTTGTGTCAGGGAGCTAGATATGTAGATGTCTTTCTTGTAAATTGAGATTTAGATCTAGACATGATAGATATGATTCAGTCTTCATATTTTGGCAAAAATGTCTCAGAGACATTAATGTTGTATTAGTTCATCAAGAAACACATACTGGAAAAAAAAGTGAGAAATACATACTTTAAGGATGTTCTTTTTGTAATGGGAACAGATATTGGTGGTCATTGCCTAGAGAACTTGGGTCATTGAAGCTAAAATGGTGATATTTTAGTTCTATCTATCCTTCATTTATTAGGTGGAATTATTCTCTGATGAGAAACTTTTCTCATCCACTATTTGGTAACTAATGTTACAGTTCATATGGCAAACACAAGATAATTGTTTCATTATTTGCCTCTGCTTACGTAGTTTCAAAATAATGAATTTCCTAGCATGCAATAATGGTGACCATGAAGTCTTTGTTCCTACAGAGCTACTGTGGATCACTGTGGACTAAATATGAGGCATCAACACAGTGTTCTTAACCCTGTGTTCATTAGCACTTTGACATTTTTCTGTTGTTCTTCTTTCAGCTCATCTTACATTATTATTCTTTAAATCAGGATGAAACAAAAACTCTGCTTATGCTCCAGACCACCCAGTGATGCTAGGGGTATGTTGGGAAAAGAGGAGAATCTCAAAACCTTGGAGTATTACATTTCTAGTCTAAACTTCTTTTGTTTAATTGGAATTATTATTTTTTCTTGATTAGTGTTTCCTTTTTTCAGATTATTACAGTTGTTCCTCTTCCCCTCCCCCTATTAGCTCTCCTCCACCTGGTCCCCACTCCCTCCTGCCTTTTATCTTCCCCCCACACTGTCCTAGTCCATAGGTGAATGATTTTTAAAAAAATATATTTTATTGATTTTGTACAGAGAGGAAGGGAGAGAGATAAAGAGTTAGAAACATCAATGAGAGAGTCATCGATCAGCTGCCTCTTGCACACCCCCTACTGGGGATATGCCCGCATGCCCTTGTCCAGAATCGAACCCTGGACCCTTCAGTCCCCAAGCTGATGCTCTATCCATTGAGCCAAACTGGTCTCGGCAAGGTGAATGATTTTTGTCCAGTCTCTTCCCGCATCCCCACACCCCTTTCCCCCCAAAAAATTGTCAGTCCACTCCCTTTCTATGCCCCTGATTCTATTATATTCACCAGTTTATTCTGTTCATCGGGGTTTTTTGTTGTTGTTGTTGTTTTGTTTGTTTTTTTGTTCCTCAGGTTTTTATTCACTTGATTTTTAGATTCACTTGCTGATAGATATGTATTTGTTGTCACTTTGTTGTTCATAATTTTTATCTTTGCCTTCTTCTACTTCTTCCTCTTAAAAAATACCCTTCAGCATTTCATATAATACTGGTTTGGCGGTGATTAACTCCTTTAGCTTTTTCTTGTCTGTGAAAGGAATTCTCTCATTTACTGAATAAACTCTTTCAAAGTTTTAGGTAGATTACCTGGAGATGATCACTCCATCACACAAACCAAAAGACTTTGTCCAAGGTTAGTCTCTGCTGACACAGCCTGGTCATTATTTCTCTCTTGTGGGTGGACCTGCCTTCCCCTGAGCCTCAAGGATGATGGTTTGTGAAAATATTCACTTACAAATTCTCATTTTTCCTTTAAGGATCTAAGAGTGGAGCATTCTCTGTTCCTTAACAGAGATATTACTAAGTAGTAGTCATGCTAATATTCTCCTGATCAATGATCAATAAAATTGACCTAGATGAAGGAAACATCCCAGGTCTTTCCTGCTTCCTTGCTATTACTAATCTTATGTGAACATGACTGCTTAAATCTTGACAAGTTCTCCCAGAGACATTTAATTAAGTCTATCCTACATTCACAGAATGCCCAATAGTCTCCAGCACATTTTGAGCAGTATTGTGCAAAAGTCTCTGCACATTCAGTCTCCCAGTTCCTCCTATTCACTGTGAATGGATATGCACATTCTTTTTATGTGACAGCAAATAAAAGACATGACCTGAGGCAAAAAGAATGAAGGGGTTTTGATGGCTAATAGCTTGAGAACAGCACAGAGTTAGTAAAAGGGTGGCAGCCCTAGAATGAAACTATCAAGGATCCAAGTATGTTAGAGATAGGACTATTTTGTACTCTTAATATATGAAGAACACAATTCTTAAATTATGAATCAATTATTGATTTTTATAACATTTTGACTTGTTGGATTTCTTTAATAGCCAACTCTTTGATTTTGTCTTGTATTAGTATATTGTATTTTTCCTCCTTTTTTCTATTTCAGTCTGGGCTAGACTAAGATCATTTACAAAGTAGCTCTTTCAGGCTTAGGCTCAAATATTAAATCAATTTCTAAGAGTACCATTTTATTGGCTAAAGGGATTTTGCCCATTTCAGAGGTCTCAATCAGTTTAACTGGGTTGATACCCACAGCCCCATGGCATTGCCACTAACTGAAGAAGGTTCCAACATGACACTGATTCTTTCTTAAAGCAAACCCATCACCAGCTGTGAGTAGCATTCCAGGCCCTCAGAAGGAGGCAGGAAAGCCTGTGGAACTATGATGTACTCTGGAGAGATGCTGGTGAGTGGGCCAGGTACATCCAGATACTGGTTTGTTAGAAGAATAAAGTGATCCAAGTCTGGAGCTTGTGTACGGAAGGCACCACACAGTATATAGCAGGCCAGCCATTGTCCAGATACCTGCACAAATGCTGTAGATTGGGCAGCTTCACCGTTGACAGGGTAGAGTGTTTAACATGGAAAGACGTTATATCCCCATTCTTACAGCATTGAGGCTATCAGTGAAGCTTATTGGCATATGGGGACCAACTGAAAAAGGGAAAATCAAAAGTCGTCTGGATTTCAAATGAGTGAATGATTTAACGTTGCATTTCCTAGAGTCAGCTACATCTTCATATCTATTATGAGTGCCTCCCTAGTCACTAATTTCTTCCTTTGGTTGCTGGGTTTCTAGGTAGTTAACCCACATCCTGCCTCCATTTGTTCAATAGAAATGTTTATTTTTAATTGAACCTTTGAATAGAAATGCAAATGAGATGTGCCTCTGCAGGTTTATTCATTAAATTGTGGTCAAATTGCTCTCCCGGATGGTGTGAGAAAAATAACTACAAATTTTCATTTAAAAAATTATACTTTGGGACTTAGCCCATGGCTGAGAATGAAGCCAGGCGTACGGATGGCAGCGAGGGGTCAATCCGTGCCCAGTGCTAGGTCGCCGGTGGAGGAGTCGGAAGTGGTTGGGGTTTGGGGGAGGAGATCCGCTCACACACAAGAGGAGAGGCTTGAGCCGCCATATCTGCCGCCGCTGCCGCAGCTGCGAATGCAGTGTCAGTACTTCGCTGTCTCCGTGCTGCCAATAAGGTGCGTGTCGCTACCCCTTGGCCCCGCGCCCTTGCTGCCTTCCCCCGGTCTGCATAGCCCGCTCTTTCTATCCTGCTGACCCCGCTCCCTCCCCGCCACCCATCAGGTCCTCAGATGATGGATACGGGTAGCAGCAGCAGCAGCAGCAGCAGCAGCAACTCAGCGCCCGACTGCTGGGACCAGGTGGACATGGAAGCCGTGGGTGCAGCCCCTATCGGGGACCTAGCCTCTTCAGCAGCAGTGGTGGAGACCCAGCATGAGCACCTCAACTCGGCCTTCAGCCGTCAGCTGAACGTCAACGCCAAACCCTTCGTGCCTAATGTACACGCCGCGGAGTTCGTGCCGTCCTTCCTGCGGGGCCCGGCTCCGCCGCAGAACCCCCCTGCGGACACCACCAGCATTGACGAAACCTGCACGGGCGCGGGCACACCTGAAGGTAAAAGGCTGGGACTTGGGGCACCTGTGGAACTTGCCAAAGAGGAGCAGATAGTGTTGTGTGAAGGCTCCAATTCAGCCGTTACCATGGAACTTTCTGAACCTGTTATAGAAAACGGAGAGGTGGAGATGGTTCTAGAGGAGTCATGGGAGCACAATAAAGAAATAAGTGAAGCCGAGCCAGGGGGTTGTTCGCTGGGAGATGCAGGGCCCCCAGAAGACAGTGGTCAGGAAATGATGGAGAAAGAGGAGATGAGAAAATCTAAATCTGTGGTCCTGCCCTCAGGTGCTCCTAAAAAAGAACACGTAAATGTTGTATTCATTGGGCACGTAGATGCTGGCAAGTCAACCATTGGAGGACAGATAATGTTTTTGACAGGGATGGTTGACAAAAGGACACTTGAGAAATATGAAAGAGAAGCTAAAGAAAAAAACAGAGAAACTTGGTACTTGTCCTGGGCCTTAGACACAAATCAAGAAGAACGAGACAAGGGTAAAACAGTAGAAGTGGGTCGTGCCTATTTTGAAACAGAAAAGAAACATTTCACGATTCTAGATGCCCCTGGCCACAAGAGTTTTGTCCCAAATATGATCGGTGGTGCTTCTCAAGCTGATCTGGCTGTACTGGTCATTTCTGCCAGGAAAGGGGAGTTTGAAACTGGCTTTGAGAAAGGGGGACAGACAAGAGAACATGCTATGTTGGCAAAGACAGCAGGTGTGAAGCATTTAGTAGTGCTTATTAATAAGATGGACGATCCCACAGTGAATTGGAGCATCGAGAGATATGAAGAATGTAAAGAAAAATTGGTGCCCTTTTTGAAAAAAGTCGGCTTCAGTCCCAAAAAGGACATTCACTTTATGCCGTGCTCAGGGCTCACGGGGGCAAATATTAAAGAGCAATCAGATTTCTGTCCCTGGTACACTGGATTACCCTTTATCCCGTATTTGGATAACATGCCAAACTTCAGCAGATCAATTGATGGACCCATTAGACTGCCAATTGTGGATAAGTACAAGGATATGGGTACTGTGGTCCTGGGCAAGCTGGAATCAGGATCCATTTTTAAAGGCCAGCAGCTTGTGATGATGCCAAACAAGCACAATGTGGAAGTTCTTGGGATACTTTCTGATGATGCTGAAACTGATTATGTAGCCCCAGGTGAAAATCTTAAAATCAGACTGAAGGGAATTGAAGAAGAAGAGATTCTTCCAGGATTCATACTTTGTGACCCCAATAATCTTTGCCATTCTGGACGCACATTTGATGTTCAGATAGTGATTATTGAGCACAAGTCCATCATCTGTCCAGGTTATAATGCGGTGCTGCACATTCATACTTGTATTGAGGAAGTTGAGATAACAGCCTTAATCTCCTTGGTAGACAAAAAATCCGGAGAAAAAAGTAAGACGCGGCCCCGCTTCGTGAAACAAGATCAGGTGTGCATTGCCCGTTTAAGGACAGCAGGAACTATCTGCCTTGAGACATTCAAAGATTTTCCTCAGATGGGTCGTTTTACTTTAAGAGATGAGGGTAAGACCATTGCAATTGGCAAAGTTCTGAAACTGGTCCCGGAGAAGGACTGAACAGCTTTCTTGATAACCCTTGCACAATACTGTGAGAATTGACTACAAAAGTTCACCACCTTCTCTTATTTACTGGCCATTGATAGACTTTTCTCCATATTTTGCAAAGAAAAATTTCACAGCAAAAATTCATGTTTTGTCAGCTTTCTCATGTTGAGATCTCAGTTTCATCTTCCAATACCATTCTGCTTCCGTGGACAGAATCAGTAATAGCTTTGTAAGTGATGTGGATGTAACTGTGTATAACAATGAAAAATTAATATATTTTTTAATTTTTCATTTTTCATTAGGATATTTAGACAACCCTTGTTCACGCAAACCAGTCAGAGTGTGTCAGTGTGTGTGTGTGTGTGTGTGTGTATGTGTGTGTGTGTGTGTGTGTGTGTATGTTAAAAAGACAAGTAATATGTGAATAAAATACTTCATTTGAAACTCTTATTGGTATTTGAAATGCTTTTGAATACTTTTAAGCTTTGTATATAATACTTTGCAATTAGCCTTTTTACTTTTCCAAGTAATTTAATATATTTCATTGAGCTTTTAAAAATTGTCTTCCACTCATTATTTTAGATTAGGTATTTACAAACAATGCCCAAATTTGTATTAAAGGAAAATTTTTAATTTTGAAATTTTTTAATTTCAGGGCTCTTTCTTCCCAGTGAATTTTGTTTTCTGTGCCCAAGTCCAATCAACAAAGGACATTCTACTTCTCCACTTATAATTTGCAAAAGAAAGGCTCAGGCCATCTATCAGGTCCACTAATGTCAAGGATGGCCAAATTACAGATTTACCTGGGGATTCAAACCATATGTTGACTAGACTCTTATCTGCACTCCATCATCTTAACACAATCCTTGGTTTTGTTCCCCTTGTCGGTTGGGATGAGAGATACAACACAATAAAGGGCCATGACTACTGAGACGATAAATGCTTTCAATAGGGCTGCAAATCATTTACTGAAGATTAAGCGTTAGTGAGGGTTGTGAGCTGGGACATTGAGGAGACCATTCCACCCTTCTTCAGTGCTTGGGGTTGTTAGTATAGGTGGGAGGTCATTTTGACAATCAAATCATGACCCACTTTTGGGGTTTGGGATACGGGACTTATCTTTGAAAAGAAGATGAGGAAAACACCAACTGTGGATTGAAGTGGCTACTTTTATTGCCAGAGGAGTGAACTTACAACCTGCAGAACTATCAACAGCTGTGAGAACTTTGTTTTGGTAAGTGGGTAGAGGCCCAATGAAAACACCTGCCTGGTGGTGGCCAGAGTCAATTCCTCACACACATGGGCTGGTTGAACAGGAGTGGAGTCTGTTGCCCGAATACCCTGGGCCCATGCTCAGGCAAAGGTGGTGTCCCCTGCTCTGTTGCCTTTTCTTTTTGTACCCATGTATCTCTAAGATATCTCACCTGTCAGAGATAGCCACTGGTCTTGTCAGAGCATCAGTAAGTAACACAGACATGCAGGACACCCACATGAGAAATGAGGATTTTCATTTGGTTATATGTCAGCTAACCTAATCCAAAGGGATGTGTCTTACTGTCTTGGACTCAGTCTGTTAATAATTAGAATGTCAGTGATAAGAGTTTCATCTTCATTTTAGATTTTCTTCTTGCCTCTGTGTTCTGAACTTGGTACAGAATGCAGGACAATCCAGTGTTTGCTAAAAGTTTTGCCCTGGCAGCCACTCTTTTAAAAATATATTTCTGATGCTGCTTCAATCTCGTTTTGTAATTTTAGTAATTTACCAATAGGATTATTGTGGATATCTGTCACTAATAGGCCAAAGTAACAAAGTGGGACAGAACTCTTTTTCTCTATCCAATTTGGATAATTTCCTATCAAAAGCTGACTCTGAAATGTCTTTCTCATTAGTCAGTTGTGTAGCAATTTCTTCACCAGGGTATCTAAACTGTATTAAAAAAAACTTCCAGCCCTAACTGGTTTGGCTCAGTGGATAGAGCGTCGGCCTATGGACTGAAGGGTCCCAGGTTTGATTCTTGTCAAGGTCATGTACCTTGGTTGTGGGCACATCCCAGTATGTGCAGGAGGCATCTCATCAATGTTTCTCTCTTATCGATGTTTCTAACTCTCTATCCCTCTCCCTTCCTCTCTGTAAAAAAGCAATAAAATATATTTTAAGCCCTAGCCGGCTTGGCTCAGTGGATAGAGCGCCAGCCTGCTGACTCAAGGGTCCCAGGTTCGATTCTAGCCAAGGGCACATGCCTGGGTTGTGGGCTCGATCCCCAGTGGAGAGTCGTGCAGGAGGCAGCCAATCAATGATTCTCTCTCATCATTGATGTTTCTCTCTCTCCTTCTCCCTTTCTCTCTGAAATCAATAAAGATATCTATATCTATATATCTATATCCATCTATATCTATCTATCTATCTATCTATCTATCTATCTATCTATCTATCTATCTATCACTTTCAGAGAGCAGGACATAAATCTTTGTAAATAGATTTTGGAAACCAAATCGCTTCAGTAAGAAGCACATCATTCAGGTGGCTGGAGACACCAAACTGGCTCTATATGGAAAGTAGATATAAACTCAGGGTAACATTTCTAACTTTTTGAGTACCTTCCTTTATAGTCCTTAATGTATCATGGTGTTTTCTAAATACTGCAAATTGGGGCCATTCACAAGCACAGTACTAGTTTCCAAGGACATACAAAGTAGCGTCCCTTCAGAAGTCCCCTATTGCCTCCAATTCATTCCAATTTAACTAAACTATCCTCAGATACTCATCCCCATTTCCTGGCACCCAAGACAATATAGCATCTCCCCAAGTCTGACTAGATGCTGTAAATACATTATAAACTTAATACTTCAGGCTTTTTCAATACAGTAAGTGTCTACCTATTGGCTCTTATCAACTTTTCTTCCAAGTTTTTTTTTTAATACATTTTTATTTATTTATTTTTTTTTTTAGAGAGAGAGGGATAGAGAGGGATAGACATCATCGATCAGCTACCTCCTGCATGCCCCCACCCTGGCATGCACCCTGACTGGGACTCCAACTAGAGACCTCTTGGTTTCTGGGCTGATGTTTAACCACTGCACCACACTGGCTGGGCCCAAGTTTCTATTTCTCTGGTCACATGAGAATCTGTAGGGAAAGGGACCAACTTATTCTGTACTTCAGCAAAGACCCTAAAAGGAAAGGGAAAGTTTGGGTGGGTAGAAGCTAACAAATTATTCTGAGGATCTTTCTCTGGCACCAGGATAAATTGCCAGTGCTTTTAATATCTACTCCAGTTACTGTTCCTGTCTTCAAAAAACAAATCCTTTATCAAAACAAACCCTCCTTTCACAATATCATAATTCTGGTTTATTAAAATGCAAGGAACTTGCTCTTTTAAAAGTTTACTTATAAACATTTTGTAGCACAAATATTCAAACTCATTTTAGTTCAAATAAACTGTGTAGCAACAGGGAGATGATTAGATTCCACTGTATGGCCATTGAAAAATAAACTCTTCAACCACCACAGAAGTTCTGACAAAACCCTAACATTTAACTATGCTCACATTGGTCCAGTGCCTGTTTTTATATTCAGTACGGTTGTTTCTATATTTTCTGTTAAAACTATGGTCATATTTCTATTTGCCCCAGTTACACTATCTATTCCTGGTTGGCCACTGGAGGGGAAGAAAAATTTGGCCCAAGTTTTCTCACCAGGGACACCACTAACTCTATGGAATGGGAATGTGGAATTGCCTTAAAATTTTAGTGTATGTATGTGTGTGTGGAAATGTTCACTAGGTCACCAAAATCAAGGAAAAGGGAAAAAACAAAAACAAAACAAAAAAAAAGCCCGAACCTACTGTATGAGCATGCCATATATGAGAAAGCACCAAAAACAAAAACAAAACACACACACACACACACACACACACACACACACACACACACAAAAGCTTTGTTTACATGCAAGAGGACACAGCTTACAATTTTACAGTATAGCCAGTAGAATACTGAATGTTGACTTCCCATATATTCTGAATTCAATACCAGAGTGTTTTAGAGGAAACTTATCTAAATTCTAAGAGGATTACCTTTTCCTTCACTTACCTTAAAGTTTTGTATAATATATATATATATATATATATATATATATATATATATATATATATTTCTTATTGATTTTTTACAGAGAGAAAGAGAGAGGGATATAGAGTTATAAACATTGATGAGAGAGAATCATGAATCAGCTGCCTCTTGCACACCCCCTACTGGTGATGTGCCCGCAACCAAGGTAACCTGGGACCCTTCAGTCCCCAGGCTGGCGCTCTATCCACTGAGCCAAACCAGTTTCAGCTAGTGTGTTTTTTTAAGTTACTAGATGAAAGGTTCAGGATCTCAGAATCAGATATTGATCAAAATGGGTTTCAGGTAAGTCCTTTATTTTCTACTCAGATTAATATTAAGTAACCAGAATTTACATACACAGATAATTTGCAGACATTTATCAGTCCTCTAATGAAGATTATTCTCCATTTGATTGCTGAACTTCTTAAAAAATCCAAGCAGAGACTATTGAGAAGATATTTTAGTTTCAGCATGAGTGGAACAAAACAACAAAAAAAAAAGATTTGTCCGAAGTCAGGCTGCTGTATACAACCATGTTATTGTATCTCTCACTTGATCTGACGGGTATTGAATATGCATTCAGTTATAGCTCTTCTTTTGCATTTGGGGCATTGAATAAAACATTTCCTCTGTTCTCTAACAGAGACTTAGATTAATTATCTCCTCCTGAATCCATCAGTGACCTCTGGTCACATCAATAAATTTACAGAAGAACACATTGTCACATCACATGGCAAATGACTAGCAAAGACCCCAAATGTCTTCCGAGGGTTTAGTTGTCAGTTCTTGGATTAAAGGTTAGTGTTTGATTTCTACCTTTGTGTTTCTTTTTGCACCCTCCTTTAATTGATGCTCATATGACATGTTTTATTTAGATTTCTCTCACCAATTTGGTAGGGTAT